CCACACCTCATAACGGCGTCGGTACCGATCGGTACCCACATCGGCACCGCTGACACTGTATCGTCACATATACGGCGACGTCTCAGGATCTCTTCCCCCAACTCTTGATACTCGTCGTATTCTCACCCCATCATAGTATCATAGTCTTATTGCACGCCTATCACAGTTGTCGACTTCGAGTCATCGGGGTGGTGGAGCGGCATCCGGTGTACGAACACCTTTGTGCTCAACCACTCCCTAGCCTCCGCCTTTCCGAACGGCGCAGGGCCTGACAGCGTCACTGCGTGACGACGAAGCTGGGGGGGACGACGTGGCACAGTCGAGCGCCATATCGGACTTGGCATCGCAGATCCGCGGGGCACAAGCGGAGCTCCCGGACAAGAGGAAACGGGAATTACAGCTGACGCAGACAGGGGACGGTACGTGGACCAGGGGCACCCCGCCACTCGTCTACGTCCCGCCGAAGTTGGTCGACGACGTCATCCGCTCCTGCCACGACAGCCCGACAATGGGCCACCCTGGCCGCGCCGGTACGATGGGCAACGTATTGCGGCGTTACTGGTGGCCGAGCGTCCGGGCGGACGTCGAGACGTTCGTCGGCGAGTGCGACGTGTGCCAGAAGACGAAGCCGCGCCCTGGCAAGCCGCTCGGACACCTGTTGCCGCTACCGGTAGCGGAGCGCCCGTGGCAACATGTCGCAGCGGATTTCGTCGGACCGTTACCCAGTTCCGGCGGTTTCTCCACGATCCTCGTGATCGTAGACCGTTTTTCGAAGATGGCGGTGTTCACGCCGTGTAAGAAGACGGCGACGGCGGAGGACTGGGCGCGCATGTTCGTCGACAAGGTGTACTGCCGATTCGGACTCCCGAGCTCGGTAGTCACGGACCGCGGATCGGTGTTCACGAGCAAGTTTTGGCGAACGATGGCCGACATACTTGGGGTGAAGCATAGACTGTCTACGGCGTACCACCCCCAGACGGACGGGCAGACGGAGATCGTGAACAAAGCGCTCGGGCAGTACCTGAGGGTTTTCGGTAACTACGCTTCCTCGAACTGGGCGTCATTGTTACCACAGGCCGAATTCTGGTACAACAGCTCGACACATTCGACACTAGGCATGTCACCACTCGAGGCGTGCGGCTTTCAGCCACGACGGACGTTCGACGAACCTCCAATGACAGCCCTGGGATCCGTGAACGCGGTGGCGACGGCTCGACGCATGGCCATGCTGCGGTCGTTCTTGCAACAACGGATTGCTGACGCCAACGACCGTTACCGAGTAACGTACAACAGCGGCCGACGCGACGTGATATTTAGTGTGGGTGACCGCGTCCTGATTTCCCAGGCGAACGCGAGACAGCTGCGCCCGTCTAAGAAATTGTCGGACAAGTGGGCGGGGCCGTTCACGATCTCGGAAGTGGTGAACAACGGGGCGTACCGGCTCGACCTCCCCCCCGGGATGGGGATCCACCCGGTGGTGAACGTCGACAAGTTACGACCGTATCGCGGCGGGCGAAAGGAAACTATAGCGCCAGCCACGGAGCGGCGGGTACGCGAGCCGGCGGATATCACGGCGAGGCGCGTGGTCGGCGGGACTGCCCAGTGGCGGGTGCGCTGGTCGGACGGAGAAACGTCATGGGAGACGGACGACACAGTGACTGCGTCCCCAACGTGGGACGAGCTGAAGCGCTCGTTCCGACCCATAGAGTCACCCGTTACCGAGTCACGACGGCCCGACACAGCTACGACGCGGGGCCGGGCAGCGGCAGCGACCCCCCGGGGTTGGAAGGGCTGGGCCGCGGTACCCGATGACTACGTGGCGCCACCCGAGCGGCGGGACGCCGTCGGGGAGCGGTTGCGGACGAGGGGACAGACCCTACGGGCACGAACGGAACGGACGGAGTGACGGGCTGTTACTACCGCCTCTACGTCTCCTGTGTACACGGTTCCATATCGCACATCACGGACTATACAATTTCGATACTGTACTACACACAGCCACCCGCGGACTCAATAGTCGTCGGGCGCAGGCGACGGCGAGCGGCGAGGGCGTTTCCCTCGGCGCCGCTCGGCGTCCCGGCTCCCCTCCGGGCGGCTCCACTCCTCCTCCTCCTCCTCCGCTTCCTCCTCTTCTTCCTCCTCCTCCTCGTCCTCCTCGTCCTCCTCGCGGGCGGCACCCTCGTGCGCGCGCAGGTTGGCGCGCAGGCGGCTTTTCACGTCCGGCTTGGGGGGCGGCGCGACCGCCTTACCCCGGGCGCGAGCCTGACGTTGCTCGTCACCGAGCCACACGACGGCGTCATTGAACGCCGGGGCGTTGCGAAGATACGCCTCGTAGACGCGGCGAGCGGGGTTGCGGCGGTCGTCGGCGGCGTCGGCCAGCTCGACCGCGAGGCGCTGAATAGCGACGAACGACTACGCCGTTAGTGAGTAACGAGGGCACGAACTCACGTCGTGTAAGACGTGCGCCTTGCACGCACCGTACGTCAGCGCGCCCTTGGGGGCGCGGTCGGTCCGTGGGGCGAGGTTGCCACAGGCGGCACGACGACAGGTGGCGGCGAGGCAGGCGCCGAGGGGAACGAGCCTCGCGAGGTCGATGGAGACGCTCGGGGACGGCCCAGAGCGGAGCTTAGCGAGGGCCGCGACGACCTCGGGGCCGGCGTCGTCGGCGGCGACGACGACGAGCGCGCAGAACTCGTGGCCCCACGCTTGCGACGAACGACAACGAACGGCCGGCACGAGGGCCCAACACGCCGTCGCGTTCTCGCGGTACGCCTTGTCGAGGCGCGCCCGCTGACGGGCGTAGGCGTCGTCGGGGCGGCGGACGGCGGCAGTGACGGCCTCGGCGCGGGCGTGGTCGAGGATATGACGCAGAACGGTGTACGTCGGGGGCGCGACGCGAGCGCGGAACGGGCCCTTGTCGTCGGCGACGCGGGCCCAGCGGTGGTGGTGGTTCTGGGACGGCATGACGACATGAGCGAATGGTATGTGGTGCGAGCGATACCATCAGCGTCGACCATTATGTATACGGCGAGGGGCGTTCAACGCCGTGCGCACATGACGAGCCTAGCCTGTGACCGCTGCGCCCTTGCGCGCGACGTGGGAACTACACAAGGGCGCGGCTGCGCATCACCGATTTTTCTCGCACCCATGTCTTGCGCCCTCGGGCGATCGACGGATCAGCGCCCGAGGCAAGACACCGCGGCGACATCGACCGATACGTCGTTATCCAGTAACGACGGCCGCGGATATGCGTGAGTTCGAGCGGGGGGGGATGTCGTGGCGCCACCTTCGGCGCCAGCAACATCGACCACGTGACCCACACGTGGTCTACGCCCAACGTCACGTGCATGCGGAACCAGCTCCTCACGTGACTCGGCGTCGGTACTTCCGCACGATACGATACATCCGTAAGGCCCATAGTATATATAGCGCCGTCGTTACCCAGTAACGACCAACGTATGTATCTTCCAGTCTCTTAGACTCGCCCTCGTCGACGGCATCGTCGACGGCTGCCGGACTCGAGTACCTCACCCCACTGGGTGAGTCTCTCGCCACGACA